TCGCTCACTAGCACTTACGGACATTCTAAACTGATAAAAGCTCTTTTGCAATCGTTAATATTTGCAACATTTGTCGCTTCATTTTCGCGGATAACCTCCAGCCATTTGCTATATACGTTTGTTGTAACCGCACAAAGTTTAACTTGTCACTGGATTCTCAAAGGATCTTAATTCGGCAAAATTTCTCATTAAGTTAAAAACTCCAAAGATGGTGGAATAGGACACAGCAAGGAGCATTTAGGACTTCATCTACTATGCAACACTTACGGTTATTTGTGGGAACGATCGAGTATAGGGGAATTCATTTATCAAATGATGGATTCTGTCAATTGTCCTGATTGGTTGGCGGTTTGACGAATTATCTTACAGCGTCCACCACCAGCAAGTAACTGTGATTTTGTATTCTGTTCGAAAGACCTTTTGCGTCCGGCTACCAAAACGGATGGTTCCCCTTGGCATCTTCAATCAAATTTCACTTCCTGTGCACGCACGACAGTTTTTCAAATAGTTTATAGAGGCTGGGCCGGTGGGCATACCAACAAGGTAGGGAAAGAATAAATCAACAAACTTCGCAATCCTCAAGTCATGCGTTAACCAAACGTCCAAGTTACCGTCGACTGATAAAGGAAAAGCACAGTGTCGAGAAACGAAGTCTCGTGAAACGACCACAACTAGAAATGCGAAGACTGTAGGTGGATAATATAAATCCAATAAACTCTTTTGTGTTTTTTTATGTAAACACTTAACGGTTGTTAGATCGTGAGCTAGTAAGAGATTCTATGCTTTTTTGCATAGCTTAGAACGAAGCGTTTATAGGCAGTTTGTGTGTCCCGTTTGAGTAGGCAAATGACCACGTATTAAGAGAGGAATACGTTTATAAGTAGTTGGTATACATGCAGCCGGTCTATGCGTCGGTGAGCAAACAGAAGCGCAAGTGCGTAAGCCGGTAGGTAGGTATACCAATGACTGGGTCAAGCATTTCATGGCATTTGAATGCAGTCAAGCAGACGGTCAACAGTCAACGAATCAATCAGCTCGTACATTCCTATGTCAAAATCTGATTATCTGCACCGAATCGGTATTGTAGTAGAACAAATGATCATGGCGTGAGTACCGGTGTATTAGTAGCCAGCATCGACCAATCAAACAAGACACGTAGCAATCAACTGCATGTCTCGACAACACTAACAATGCCATCGATGCGTTGACGCTGTTTAAACAGAACAGGCTCCAGATAATCCGAAGAGAAATAACATCTATTTAGATTGTGAATGTTTAGATTAGCCCGTTCGCTTTTTTCAAAGGCACTGTTGATGGTGTTTGGTGTGGGTTGCACTCCTTGGGAGATAGTTAATGCTCCACTTTTTGAATGCATCAACAGTGCCTGGCTCCTATGAAAAACACGAATGGGCTAATCCAAACATTCACAACCTTCATTGATCGAGGCGTTCGCACATGGTGATAATCGTCGATCGTTTAGTTCAGGGGTAAGGGTTTGAAGTCCCGATCTAAATTTTGGCGGTTCCAGTTCTGACAGGGACACAAAAGAATGCACTGCTGACAAGTCCCAAACAGGACGAAACAGGTGTCCAGTGCTCTTTGTCGGTTATCATAGGAAATAACGTCGATTTCAAAGAATAATGAAAATGTCATTCAGTTCTCCGAAAGAACACTTGGCTCTGATAAAATGGATGCGATGCTGCGTCAAGTGTGCCGACGGTCCAGTGGGATGCTGCTCCCGCTCTGCAGGAGTTGCATGGGTGATTGAACTACTGTCTAAGATTAAACCAAAAGGGTTACACGCTCAATCAAAGATCTGACTTGTATTGTTGAGGCCAAAGTAGGTATATAGGAATTAAAATAGACTAGATGGTGTGATTGTAGCAGTGTTTGAATTATCTTCGGAGTGCAACTCAGCATTGATCATCTTCGCATTTCTCTGACTGATTGGTTTGTTCTGATGATGAGTTCTACGGCTGAGTTGAAGCAACACCTACGGGTCAGTTTAATGCGTACGTTATACACCATCGCTTCAGAAACCTACTCAGCGACCGTTCTGTTATGCAATATCAGACATCGAATAGCAGCATTTGTCAGTCTTTTTGATGCACGCTACTGGTTGTTTTTCTC